CTTTTATATTTTCTCAAAAATGGCTCCAGTTTTTTCTTCGGATTTGTTGTAAGAATAGATTGAAATATGTTCTCAAGGTGACATAGGCCCGATGTTTATAGTTAACTTAGATTTTTTCAAGGTTACAAAAGTTTTAATTTTTCTTGGCGTCCTCACAACTACAGTATTGATGAGAGAGATTTTTCCACAAATGAAATTTGTTTTCCCTAATTAGATCTTTCATTGACGTCATGTACATTTCTTTGAAAATTTTAGTCGTTTTTGTATAATATTGCGTGAAATATGTGCATCACAAGAAATACTAAAAAACAGAATTATTCAAAAATGGCTCCAAATTTTTTCAACATTTGGTAGGGATGTTTCTAATTGTCGTGTGTAAGATTATACGCCGTATTGTTTATTCTTTTTTTATTTTTCAAAACTTAAATCTTTTTGACATTTCTCTCGCGTGTTTAATATTTACATTACCAGAGACTTGTATTCATTACTGCGTTTGTTTAATTAATGTCTCATAAATAGAAATCGAAAAAATATGTAGTATGAAACGTCAAAATATGTATATAAATATGTAATGAAAACACTAAGAATATGTAATAAATTTAAATAAAAAATACGATTAAAAATTATTTAAAAAATACGATATAAATTTTAAAAGTGATACAAACGTTTTAAAAATAACGGCAAAACAAAGCAAAATATGGCAGTATAAATTCATACATGCTTTGGACCATACAACTTTCCGTTCAGTTGTAAAACCTTCATCTATTGCTATTCGGTGCGCTAGTTTAGCAGCCAGACTAGACGCAATAGAAACCATTCGACAAGCTGGAGTGAAACCGAAAATATAGTCCAGAGCAAAGAAATAAAGAAACCAACTAGTTCAGAGAGTCTTTGCTATTCTGTAGCATCACTAGTTTATTTTGTTTCACAAATCACACTACTGGTGTTATAATTGGGACAGACGTTCTCGTATCCTCTATAACCGAAGTACAGAACTGAATTTATCTTGAAAAATTGTGTTTTTCCAAATAATTACGATTTTTACCTGGTCAGCCTTCGAACACGTTCCGTATACCGAGGTGACTTGGTGGCTGAAGAATGATCAGTAGCAGCGATAGCGGAGATGGAGCGGGAAGGGTAAAGCGAAGAAGGGCAGTGAGCAAGCGAGCCAATCAGGATTAGTGAACTTGGGAAGCGCATTCGCAATGTTGTCTACTTGCGAACCACAGTTCCAGTACGGCGTCCGATTTGGAATTCCCAGACCTCCTCCTCACGAGGTCTGTATAATTAGCATAACAAAGTTTTTTTAAAAAAAGGACTTTAACTCAAAATTTGTCGCTTTTTTGTTACGAAAAAAATAGTACTCTTCATTTGACTCTACTATAAACTATTGGCAAACTGGACATCAAGTTAGCACCGCAAGTACCAGAAAACGAAATTACAAAGGTAAATAAAAAATAATTACATGGGCATTTGTCGATTTTTTATTGCCCTGAAGTAACCGAAAATAAATTATCTTGCTCTCCAGATACCACCTAATACCGGAAATGCGAAATGTGTCCTCTTTGCGGTGGGTGACGGTGGAGGGAACGACTGTCCGTCGCATATAGGCACCACGGAACAACAACCTACACCGTGGTGGTCAGATGGAATCAGACGCACAGAATAAATGATTTTCGGCCTCACATAAGAAGATAAAGATTCACAATTGTTATAATTGAAGGAGAATCGGAAGATTTTGAAGTGATGGTAACAGTTTCATGAAATATAAAAAGGACGAACATATACATTTTACATTCGTTTTTCTCCAATAAATTGTGCATATTATTACAACGGAGCCCTTCAATTGCGTTTCGTGTATGCATTCAATTTCTGTGCGCGTCCAGCCGCTGCGAAGGATTGGGGCTTGCAGGTGCTAAGAAGGGATTCTCGCAGACGTTGCATTACTGGGGCGGGCGCCAACAAAGCGTCATTTCTCCGAACAACCTATCCCTACGTTCAGAAAATATTTTTGATACCCGCAGTCTTATCATCGGATTTGTAAGGTAGCAAAAACATTTATTTTTTATTTACGTCAAAAACTGTGTGTGACGTGCTACGAGAAGAAGGCCAATTTTGTAGGACTTGATTTGAAGTTACATCTATGACCACAAGTAAAACAAAGAGCCATCTCAGCATTTGCTCAAGGATTAGGAAAACTAGATGAAAACCTG